GGCTCAAGTCTTTTTTTTTTTTTGTTGAAATTCTCTCTCAAGTCTTCTATTGTATTTGTATTCTTTCCGTGCAACGTTTTAATTATCTTGTCATTGACCAACCATTGATCCCATACTAATACTGGTTGATTCAAACATAAGGTTCGAAAGTATCCCAAGGGTGTATTGAAAAAATACTTCTAACAGATATATTGGGATACGTTTTAAATATGCATAAATTTAAATATAAACAAAAAATCAAGATATGCACAATAATTAGAAAATCCAAAAAAAATTAGGAAAATATATTAACAACAATAAAAATGAGTTTTATATGATTATAACTAATTTATTTAAATATAAAAATCATACTTTAATGGTTTATCTAATGTGTCGAGACAAAATTAGTAACCATTAAAAAATAATAGAAGAACTAAAATGTATGTGCATTAATAGATACTAATATTTTTTTTAAAGCCATTAATTAGATAATATTTATTATATATAGATTTAGATAATATTTGTTATGCATATAAGTTAATATATATATCTTAATTTTTAATAAATAAATATAGTTTGTATTAATTTTTATTATTATAATAATCAAATTTTAGAATTTACTGAAAAACTTCCAACAAGAGAAGAAAGATTACTTTCACTACAAGAAAATGGTGATATAGCTACTGAACTGTAGCTACGAACATAAAAACCGTAGCTAAAACATGGGATACAGCTATAGATGATTTCATGTCCATAGCTTAAAAATATGATAATTTTCATTCTCATCATCTATATGGTTGTCAATGGGTTGGGTTAAATGGTAAACCTACCTTAATCCTATTGGATCTAGGGTTCAGTCATTGGCATCACCAAGTCTGCTCTGTTTTTTCTTATAATCTGCATTCAAAATATGGTTGAATAGATAACTAGATTATCCATATAGAAAGCATACCTTCTAAAATTTTGCTTCCTTCAAGATGTAAAATAGTTACAACAGCAAGGGAAAAACCAGTCAGTTTCAAGCTATTTGCATCATGAATCTAATTTCTATATCCATCCTTCAACAGGTAGCTGATAAAGATGAAAAATGATTGTTCTTTAGCTATACTTGTATTTGTTGAGTGGGCACTATATATGACCTGTATTTGTCGAGTGCAGGCACCATATGCCGTGGTTTAGCTGATAAAGTATCGTTGAATGCCAACTGAGGCAGCAAGTATTCCTCTTTAGAAACTTTAATCTATCTATAGTGAGGACATCTTTCCAAAAACGTTTCCACAGAAACATCCACAATTGTGCTTGAAGGAAAGAGTTGAAGTAGAATCTATTCATCCCATGATCCATCCAAACAAAACAATTTTTTTTTACCTGGAGTTGTGAGTGGTAGAAACTGACCTTTGTGGATATCCCCCATAAAGAGAAGAGACCCAAGGGTCTTCAAATAAAACAATTTGACTTCCATATTTGATTTGCCATATGAATAAGGTTTTAGAAATTTTGTTATTTTAAAACCATTTGCCTCCACTAATGTGAGTATCTAGGCTTTGGAGTTTGATTAAAAACGGATCTATGTCTTAGGTACTTTGCTTTTACTTCTTGAACCCATAATTTATTTGGTTCATTTAAGACCTGCCAAACCTATTTTGCAAATAGGGCTTGATTCATTTGAAATAATCTTTCAAATTGTCTATATTTGATACTTCTTTTTATTTTGATAAAGTAAGATAAACTTTTATAAGAAAAGATAATAGTACACCAAGACACCTAACCAAGCTCCAAGCTAAGGAGCACTACATGAATACTGATTTTTAATATATTTTAATTCCTTCTTATAGGTTACAATATAAGATTACCTATTGTCTACAATTTGGCATAGAAAGGATGTAAGTTCAACTATTCACATTTTCTGCTAAAATTATGTATTTTCTATTTTAATATAATGTGGACTGCCATGGGATTTTTGAACCATATAGTGGTATAATATATTACTATTTGACTAACGATTGAGGGTTACATTTTCCCTACTAGTTTATTTGATTATGTATGGAAATCTAGTAGGTTAATGCCACGCTTGAATTCTCAAGCTGAACATGAAGTCATGAACCATCTTGTAATAGTGTTACTCTTCTTTTGAAGGATCAATAGGAAATTTTATTAAAATTGGAAAAGAAAGCTCGGAAGAATGGTTGTCTAGATGACAAACCAATTACTTAACAAAATACACTGAAAATGACTAATGATTATAGAGATTCAACTATAGGGTATTCTTAGAAATTCTCTATCAGATCCGACTTTACTACAAAAATTTTGGGCTTTAACGACATTTTCTAAACGTCACCAAATGTGGGACAAACGTCGTGAAAAGTTTTTCGTGACATTTGTTCCTCTATCACAATTGTGACAGTCACGAAAACCTTTAGTGACATTTTGCAAATGTCACCATTGTCTATAGAAAAATGATTCTAGGGCATATTTGTGTCATATATAAGATTCTTTTGTGACATTTATTGAACGCCATTAAAAATGGTCTTTGGCGACATTTATTTAAACATCACAAAAAGTCACTACAAAAAATGGTTTTCGATGAATCTTGGTGACGTTTGCAAATGTCACTAAAAGTTATAGAAATGTCATTTAAGAGGTTTTTAATTAGTAACATTTAGAATGATTTTTTGTGATGTTTATTAAATGTTGCTAAAGGGTAATTTTTCTTTTAAATAACCAGCAGTCCATGACTATTGGCACATATCAACATTAATTAATAAATTATATACTCTTAAAATTGTGATTTTACCTAACAAATGTATCAAAAGAAATAATAAAAACACATACTTAATATAAAAAGGGTCCATTTTACAATTAGTTCATTACATACGAATACAAATAAAAACTATATAGACCAATATTATATATGATTTCATTTTCCATAAACTTGCAATCAAGAGAAATGACAAGATGATCCATTGCTAGCACACAACTAGCAAACTTTTTTTTTGGCTTTCTCCTAGCCCAATTTGCTACCTTTATTCCATAGTTGAAGCATCTTTTAGCATTTCTTTATCAAGTGACGCCATGGATGATTCTATTAGGGCCCAACTGTTAGTTGAAGAGAATCCTAGATGTTGTAGAACATAAATCAACACTACATTTAATTTTTGAAGTCATTTAGGTGGAAAATCAAAGACAATAGAGTAGGAAAAATTAAAAGTGTTTATTTTTACTTTGTAGACTGGGATCATACAATAACATCTGTTCTCTTAAAAGGATTTGGGCTATCCATATTATAAGCTCTAGCTTGTAACAAACTCCAAACTAAATTATTATAAGCATCAGTAGTAATCAACTTAAGTCAAATAAAAATAGAAGTTGAAAGAGATGTCAAGGTTCCTAAAAAATTGTCAACTTTCTCATGTTTGGAAACCATTCCTTAGCTTTCAGCCAAATCTTATCGCTATAAACGTATCACATTGACAAGTGCCTTTCTTGACGGGACCAAACAAGAAATTCAAATAGAAGGCTATAATCGAAGAAGTCACAATAGGAAATTGTCAACTGATTTGTGTTATGGTTAATTTAAATGATAGGGTATTAGTTTTTGATGGAGTTTAAGATCTAAGAATTTTATTTTTACGTTAATTTCTTAAGTCTTAACTAAGGTTTTATTTAACATTTTAAATATAAACAATTATATCATAAGAAACAATTATATTATAAGATTTACAGAGTGCAGCACAAATAATGTACCTCAACTTGGTCAGCACTAGTACCCAACTGGAGCATACAAAAATGGGTAATATAATGTACCTTAGCTTGGTCAGCACCACACCCAACTGTCCAAACTGATCGATTTCCTCTAAACGCATACACAACACCTTGAATTGAAATGCAAATTGTATGCCACAGTCCAACAACAACTCCCTTTAATTGGATACCTAAGAGAGATGATACACAAGCTGGACTCAACTCATTATCTGTACTTCCCTGCACACACTAGATCAAAAACAACCATAATATTGTAGGGATATCTATTTTCTTATTTTGAAATACAAATTCATTTATGGTTTGTCACAATACCTGATGTTGTACGATCTGGTGCTCCCTGTTGATAAATAGTTCGAATGTTGAATTGTGTAAGTCGCCTAGATAAGCTACAAAAGAAGAGATCAGAGTGTTAGGGTTGCTTGACCCGGGGTGGGCACTCTGAGACTTAAGTCAACGAATTGGTATTTGATTGTATGAGAGATAGAGAACTAGAAAATTATGAGAGCTAAATCGCAAGTACCTTTTCTGAGAAAGCAGACACCTTTATATAGGCTGACTGCTATAAACTCTATGAAACGCATTTGAGATCTCTGGCCCATCTGATTTAGAAGCATTTTCATGCTTGTAGATGGAAGCGGGCGGAGGTGGTTGTTAGCTCCGTCGGTGTGGCGTTGTGATCTCAGGAAGGCTGAAAGCAGAACTCGTTCGAGGAGGAGGTCGCTCCTTGTGTCACACAGGCCGCTGGCTAAACCTTTACTAGGTTGGCTAAGGCAAGTTGCCTCCTACGCCATCCTGACGTCGGCCAACCTCTTTTCAATCCATCTTGTCAAGGTAGGGCCAAGTATCTACTAGGTTGGCGGAGAAAGAAGTGTCTTTAGAAGTTGTAGGGGTAGTTTTTGTGGCTGCCGGTAAAAACAAATGACTAGCACTGAAATTACTTTTAGCAGCAGTCGTGATTGCCGCAAAAAGTTGAACTAACTGCCACTATAAGTCTAAGACATTGTTTTAGTGGCAGTCGCGATTGCCACTAAATCTATTTTTCTTTCATATAATCCATGCTTTTTTTAAATTATTCCTGTTTTGCTTCTAAKAACCTGTTTTCTCTACCTTCATCTATGGAATGAAATACGAAAATCAAAACATTGATTACAAATGAAATTTAAAAATCTATTCTCCATTCAAAACATTTGAATCACAAATCAGTACATCTTAGTTTCAAATTGATAGATTCTTTAATACAAATTTCTTGTTTCCTCCCTCATCTCTTGTCTTTTCCCTGCAAGTATCTCTCCACATTGTCAAGTCCACATGGCTCCTTAACAACAAGGCATGGTTGCAGGGATGTCCAACTAAAAGGTTGAATCAGATTCATTTGAGCTGCACCATTCTTCGCTTCTCTAATAGCTGCTCTTGTTGCACAGTGAACAGATACTATTAAAAGTAATGGTGGCTCCTCGGAAGCTGCACGAGAGTCAAATAACCATTGGTTATTATTAGTCATATTGCTCAACCTGATAAAATATGTATTTGTACATATTTCACTAATTTTTTGTCTTTTTTTGATGAAATAACTATTACTGTATCCTAATAAGAAAATAAATATGAGCATATGAATCTTGAAATTTATAAGAGAGGATAATGCATATCCTCTAGTGATATGGACCCAATGCTTGAATTTATCAATTGTTTGTGCAATTTTTACTGGTTGACTTCTATTAAGCTGCAGTTTCACAATTGAAAAAATGGGTTATCAGTACTATGGTTTCATATGTCTTCCCAATAAATGGAACATAGACTGAGTTAAGTTTCTCTATACTGATATTTTCAGATCATTAAGCTAAATAAAGCCATCTTGGTGTTGTTCTCCTTCAACAGAAGATGTTTTTGAAAACTTATGAAAATTTGACAGAGTTCTTTTAAAATTAGAAGTTTYAATAGTTTGGGGGATCAATTATGTAACTGTTTAAAAGGAAAAAAAAAAAAAATTCTTCTAGAGAGTGATTTGTCACTAACACTTCCTTTGGATGTAAGCTTCAGGGACCTGCTAGAGGAAGGTCAATAAAACATTAGTCCCAGAAATAGTTGATATTTGACATATTGAATTGACTGGGGGGGATATCCTCTAGAAGAAGGTACAGGGTAAAATGGTTGTCCCATCTCAAAAGGGTTGGACTTCACATGACAATTTCATAGAAATCTGGTTGTTTCCCTTGAAATGAAATTGTTTTTTCACTTTATTTACAAGAAAGCTGAAAACCTTCTCTAAGTATATCAATAGCTCTCTCCTATCTCCTTCTATCAAATCTTCTAGTTTTCTTAAAAAAATTTGATATATAGAGAAAACTAGAGGAGCCGCTTGAAACTGAAAATAGGAGCTTCCTTGAGGAAAGTAATTCAATATTAGAGAAGCATGAATATAACATGGTGACTGCATCATCGATGCATGAGAGGAGAAAAGTAGAAGGTAGTCATTTTTTGTTTAGTTCTGTTGCATGGTACTATATATTGACTTCATCATCAATATTAGAGAACCATGCCCCTGGTTCTTGATTGCCAAAGCAGAATCAAGAACTGAACGCAGAAAGATGAAATTCTATCTCGATCTAGTTTTAGAAGTTCAATATAACTTGTTCTCATGGTACTGAATCACAAATTGTATCACCACAATTTAATATATTTTTGATAAAATTTGTTCTTTTTCTGCCCCAACATTTTTTTCTAGCCTTACTATAACTAACTTAATTATTACTAAAATACTGCACTTGAAACTTAACACAGCTCCCCCCACACCCACTGACCTAAGCCTACTGTCAATGAATTTGATTCAACCCAAGTAGGGGTGTCGATTGGACTGGATTTTGCACTGGACACTTGACACAGCAAACCGGGGTGGCATGTGGCCATATCCACATGAAACTAGAAAGTAGAAAGCCATTGGTTACTTGGTACAGCCGGTTGTCCTGTTAGCAACTGACTTTTGCACTAAGATTTACAGCCCACCATGAATAGGGCCACTGATACCTATGCTGAATGATTCCTCTATTCCTGTCCAACTCTTTAAAAACATATGAACTTTCTGTAACTGAGGTCTGAACATATCTACTACCATGGCATCCAATCAAACCAACAATTCTCTAGTATTCTGCAACTGTAGGCCCATTTGGGCTTTGATTAGGTCAATCTTAAACTTTTATTGTTTATCTCTTATTTTTTCTATTAATTAAACCTATAACACAACCTAAATGTTCCACAACCAAGCAGACTTAGGATACAAAACATTTTCAAACAGTTTGCATACTTTGCATTATACCTGGTTTAGATTTGCATGCATTTGTTTGTAACTATAATTAGCAGCCATATCTGATTTGCTAATTAAAACACTAATTTAGAAACTCAAATAACTGAAAAATAGAAATCCCATCACAGATTTGCCATCTGTTTGTAAATCTACCATAACTCAATGTTCAAGGTACACAATCTTGGTATAGTATTCATAATTGAACGAAAATTATACATGGTTCAACCTACAAGTTTCTGGGTCATGATGAACACTGTAAAAAGTCTACTACATTCAAGATACAGAGGTAGAGCTGAGAAATTGGGTCAGAGGGGAGCATTATCTGAAGGAACATTGCCTATGGAGGAAAGAGTGTCGAATTGGCTATTTGAACCAATAGATTTCTGCCTTTTGACAGGTAAGGAGTCTCAGTCACACAACACATCAAACATGTTTGTTGTGGACCTCTATCCTGATTTGCTTCTGATTCAGACTTGGGTACCTTTTGGTAGTCTACATTGATAGAAAATCAAATCAAATCCGATTTTTTGGGGGGGTAATAATTTGTCCAATTTGTATGAATCCCCTATATTATAAAATATTTACTTAATTGATGTAAGAGGAGACATCCATCTTGGACATATTCTGATTTCAAAGGCCAAATTAACCTGTATCAACTATCAAACACCTCCATTGTTGCTCATCCTCCTGGAGAGAGTAAAAAGGTCCAACTTCACGCCTTGGACCAAGGGATTAAAAACAGACTTGACTACAATAATGAAAATATTGAAGCCCAAGTTCCAACTATGTCTATTGGAATGCTATCCATTGAAGTTTCAGATTTTTTTTTAACTAATAAAAAAGTGCTTTAAGTTCATTACTTATAGGTGAAGAAGCAGAAATAGTAGGACTTACTGGTTTCTCATGGATTCGAAGCTGAGACCATGTTATCATTTCAAGCAACTCCTCCATTGTCCCATATCCTCCTTCATTAATTTAGTCAAAATTATAAATTCTTGAATTGACATTACCAGTAACACAGTTGTCATTTCATTTTGTTTTGAGGAAACATCTTATTCACAATAGAAACGGAAGATACCTGGAAGCACGATAAAAGCATCTGCTCTGTGAGCCATCTCAGCCTTGCGTTCATGCATATCCGATACAATTTTTACTTCACCCACTGCTTGCCCCCTTATCTGATACCCAATTCTTCACCAATCACCACCATTTATAGAAGTAGAACCTTTAAACTGAAAATTAATGTGGTTGTGTGTGTATGTATGAGAGAGAGAGAGAGATTATACCTCAAGTGCCCTTGTTCCACTGAAAATTAATGTGATGATATATGAAAGTATGAATAATGCCCACTATATCAAATTATTTCCTTTATCACAATACCAGCAATACTAATCGTATCACATCACTCAAAGAGAAAGAAATCTCAAATCTACATCTGCTGATGAAGAAGAAGTCAGTTCCATTTGCAACATTCTCTGATGATAGTATGGCAACTGGAAAGCTTGTAAGTGTAGATCGGCAATAATTAAAAATATCAGAACCTATCTAAGTTCACCACAAATATATTTTTTGCAATAAGAAATAAACCATAATTTTGAACTATCTCAACAAGGAGAACTGCCAATAAAAACTTTCACAGATCTACCAATAGTGAAGATCTCTTCAATGTATATCAAACTTCAAGAAAGCTATCACCTAGAAGACTCCTAGCAGAAATTTTATTTCAATGGAGTTATGCTGTTACCATCCAAGATAGAAGTCTGTTGCTCTTTGGGCTGCATATTGGTCAACCTTTCTTCTGGTAAGTGGTTCATACCAAATAAAGTCCAAGACAATACCAATCCTTCCTTTTTGGTGTGCCAAGAAATTATGCAATCAGATATAAAAGCTCACCAATAATGGCTTTGAATGATTTCAACTAGAAAAAAAAAAATTAACACATACTTGAGTTCTGACCTGATACTTTTCACGGTATATCTGATCTGCAGTTGCATGGCAARTAATCATATTATGGGCCGCGATGTAAGGCTCTATTGCAGAATTACCAGTTGTACAGGAGCACTACCCCCATTACCATAACCAGAAGTAGAGACCACTGCTAGTTCATTCAGTGTCATCCAATTCTTCACCCTGTCACCAAATGTCTTAAAACAAATTAAAATTCARCAAACTTGGCATGGTCCTTCCTGTATTGTTTTACGTTAGTTGTTGAGATTTCTTATCAACTAAAAATTTCAAGGCTAAGTAGAAATGATTTTGTTCAAGTATTTCAAAAAACAGTTAAGCTGCTTCCAATAGAATGGTGTTCTCAGAAACTTATCCCGTCTCCAATAGAATGGATGTGAAGCCGACATTGAATGTCCACAAATATTGGGGAGGCATAGAAGCCACCGTTGAACCGGTGACAAGAAATAACCATCTACAGCCTCGACTCACATCTATGCTTGTTGACAACAATGCAAAAACGATCTCTGATTCGAATTTGCAGTGCTCAGGCCTTTTCCTTCCATATATCACTCTAATCAATCCAGCCTCCGATCATGGATGTGTCGATAGTTTTGTTCAAAGATAAAAATAGACTAGAGAATCCAAGACAATTTYTTTTTTTCAGATTTACGGTTTCATGGTTTAGGGTTTTCAAACTTTGTAGCAGATTGTTTGAACAATTTTGGAGTGTCATACCTGTGTAAATATTTGAAAGACACCCCATGCCTTTTGTAGGGCATGAGGGTGGGAAGGGGTGGAATAGGAGAAGGGTTTCCTCGGGGAGGAAAAAAGCCTCTTTCAATTTTCATGCCTCCCTTCATTAGCGGTAGTCAGCACTACTTTTAGTGGTAGTTTCAATTGACTGCCGCTATAGGCTATTTTTATTAGCGGCAGCCCTCCTTTAGCCACTTGTTGAACTGCCGCTAAAAACAATTTTTTTGTAGCGATTCCCGAGTCAATGTTGATTTGGCAAAGGGACTAGCTCGTAATCAATCCTTGGCTCGGGGTGATTCGTCTAGTCAATTCGCTCGATCTGTTCACTTTACTCGGGTTAAGGGCGGATACCCAAATTTGAAATTCAAATTCGTTTGTGAGTTATAGGAGTGGTGTGATCCTTTCGACCATCAATTTTCTACCGTGACACCACATCCTTCAATTTTTCATGCCCATGGCTATAAATAGGGGCCAAGGGTCCCATTTGTAMTATTTTGAGTTTTCTTGCACAAGAGTAAGGTGCGAGATTGGAGGCGAGATTTGTTAGGAGGTCGTCAGTTCACAAACTTAATCTGGTTAGGTGAAGTCGGTCTTTCTTTCCTTGAAAAGCTGGTGAGTCCTTTTCCCTCTACTTTAGTCATGTCTTTGAAAGAGTCAAAAGGGGTCTTCCTACTTTTCTCAGGCCGAGGAAGGGACTTTGGCATGAGAGCAATGAGGTTCCCATACGGGGACCTCAACTTCTCAACAAGAGCTGCAGTCGCGCTCCCATTTCGGTTCCACCGAGCTAAGCAGGGAAGAAGTTGTCAGTTTGGTGTCTTCTTTCCATATTCCAAATGAATTCAACTACATTCTACCCGACTCGGACCAATTACCATGGATCCATAGCCGGGCTAAGGTCTATGTCTTCGAGGAGGCATTGATCGCCAGCCTCCGGTTTTCTCTACACCCTTTCATTGTCGAGGTGTTCTCTCATTATGGCATCGCTTTGGGAAACCTCCACCCAAGCACCATCTGGACCATTGTGGGGACAATCTCTCTCAGTTACCACCTTGATTTCCCTCTGGACATGGACATCATTTCAGGGCTGTGTCATATAAAAAGAGTTTCCAACGAGCCTTATTGCTTTTACTTGAGCTATCTCCATGGCTATAAACTTTTGGGAGGCTTCCCAACAAAGGTGAGGCTTTGGAAGAGTAGGTACTTCTTCCCCTCATGGGAGGTTGGCTGGCCCTTGGACACCATTTGGCGACATGAGGTAAGAAAAGTTTTTGACATTGAGTTTGACGAAGAGTTGTTTCTTGAGGTCCAACACCTCGTATGTCGTCTAACTCATGTTTTCCTGTACGTTTCCTTAGAAATGGTGAGTACTAATTCCCTTCTAGCAGCGGTCAAGAGGCCCTCAAAGAAGAAGAGGAGGGCAATGGATTCCTCAGTTCAGTTGTCAATGGAGGGCTTATCAATCAAGGATGAGGTGAGGCCTGCTGTGCATATACTTGAGGTGGTCGACCTCGAGGGGGCGGCGATCCTATGTTTGTAGAGCCCGCTCAAGTCTTCACAAGTTTGACCACCTAATCGCCCCAGGTCACCCCAGATGAGCACACCGCTGACCTCTCAAACTCTGAAATACCTTGATTCGTCCCCAACATTCATGTCTTGATCATTGACTGCCTAACCGATCTTCTGGTTGCTCTAAAAATGGGGAGGGGAATCCTCCTTCCTGAGGACCTCCAATACTATAGTGGACTCGATCTTGTTGACGTTAGCACAAGGATGACTCGGTGCATCCTACAAGTGTGTAATCCTTATTTCTGGTGTTTGTTCTTATCTCCTTCCAAGACTTACTACTATTATTTTTTCTTTGCAAGTGAACTCGATGGGCTAGGTCTTGTTGAATTAGGTCGCCATGTCAAAACATTAAAGGCAGGAGATGCAAGAGAATATAGAGGCCTTGTAGGCCCAACTAGAGGAAGCTCGTCTGAGCACCGAGGTGGATCATCGCAGCACAGAAGAGGACCATAAGTGCTTCTGCGACCTTAGTGTCGACATGCAGAGTGAGCTAGAGAAGGCCAAAGAGACCATCACCACCCTAATTAACAAGGTGCAAACCTAGGAGCGTTAGCTGGAAGAGCGGCGAACTAAATATACTGAAGACATCCACCATGCTGAGGTTGCAGTGGTCGATCGATTCTGCCTGTCACCGGTGTTTGAGCAAGAGAAGGCTGAATATGCCATTCCTTCTATGAAGAAGGGATTCAAGCTATGCCATCGCTTCCTCAAGTCCTTGCATCCCAACTTCAAGTTCAGCACTCTATCATTAGATTGGTATCGGACAAGTTGGTCGCGCAGGTTGACTAAGAGCCTCTGACTCTAGGGGAGGAGGTTGGCGAGGGCAGCGATGAGGTAGAAGACAAGGGCATAGGGGAGGTTGGCGATGGTCAGGAAGATGATGAGGAAGAGTAGCTGCTTGGGGGATCCTTATTCATGTCTTTTAGGAGCCTTTATGCTTTGCGCCTACACGCTCTGAATATATCTTTTCTCTCTTTACCTTCTCTTCTCTTCTTTTTTTTTTTGCAATGTACTTTTTCTCTCCCTTTTATAGGAATGGAATCGATCACCTTTTTTCTTTTTGCCTGCAGTGTGTTCCCCTTTATGCCTTTTTATTTCCCATTTTAGGAAATAGGCTAAGTATAAAACATAAGTTGATTTTCCGAGCAGCATAATTTCTCAATTAAGTCAAAATGCTATCAAGCTGCATAATTTCTTACCTGATTTAGAGCTAAGAGGAGTTTGYTTTCCCCTTAATCTTTTAGCTGAAGTGCCTATAATATAGGTCTGCTCAACTACATTAGCATAGCGGGTGGTCTATGTTTTTGTACTTAGCATATGCTGTGGCTTTTGTGGACACAACTCAAAACTTTGAAGTCCTTAAAGGTAATACTTCCTTAGGTTATCAATTCCATGCACGGGGTACCTACCTCCCTTCCAAGGTTTCGAGCTCGTACATTCCTTCACCGGTTGCCCTTGAAAACCTATAGGGGCCTTACCAGTTCGGCCTAGCTTACCCGAGCAAGGCTTAGATACCATAACTTTCTTGAGTATCATGTCATGAACTCGAAATTGACATTTCTTAACCTAGGTGATATAGTACTAAGCTACTCACTATTGGTATGATGTGGTCTGTATGTAGGCCAAGTCACGAACTTCCTCCACTAGATCAAGGTTAGTCCGTAGCTCATCCTCATTAGCCTCTTCGTCGTATGCCTTGGACCGTAAGGTCGGTACTTCAATCTCAGTTTGGATGACAACCTCTATTCCATACGTTAAGTTGAAGGGAGTTTCTCCTGTTGCTATATTGATTGTTGCTCAGTAGGGCCATAGAACACTAGGCAACTCATACACCCACAAACCCTTAGCTTGGGAGAGTCGAGCTTTGAGTCCATGGAGTATTGCCCTATTCGTCACCTTGGCTTGACCATCCGCCT